TCTAGTTACCGCAAGATGGTTTGAGCACCTTTGAGCACTAAATAGGGATCAATGTTGCCTGAAACAAAAATAGAAGTTGCTGGAAAAGCTTAGGTCTGGAAGCATCCGTGAAGGAAAAAAAAATCCAGAGTTAACATTTCGGATCTGGTGACCTGTCCTCAGAACAGAAACAGGTTCTGAGGTTGGGTCACTGGACCCGAAATGTGAATTCTCTTTTTTTTTTCCCTTCACAGATGCTGCCAGACCTGTTGAGCTTTCACAGAAACTTCTGTTGTTATTTCTAATTTAGAGTATCTGCAGTTCTTTCGGTTTTTATGTTGTCTAAAACATCAACTTAAGATAAAAGTTACCTGAACCAGATTTGATGCCACTAGGTAAACTAATCTAGATAACAAGTCAATAGTAGACTATCAAAAGAAATTGCATATTTTGAAACCAGAAGTTACTCACTGGACAACCATAGAAAACATGAAGGAATCTTCTCAACCTGACATTTCGATTCACAAGATCTTTATCACTTCTTGAAGTCAAATACAATAGCAACTGTTTGACAAAACCACTGTGCTGGATTTCGAAGGAGGACACATCAGACTCCGAGACTATTGAGCGGATATCCAAAAGGCACTCAATCCCACCATCCACCTTTGGAAAGAAAATATCATGAGCTTGCATGTAGTAATTATTGAAATAATATTGTGTAATTATGGACAAATGTTCATGAGAACATCTTGCTTATAATAATTGGTATGCAACTTGAAATGTTTAGAGTGAGTACATAAGATTAAAAAAATGTACGTGTCATGATTTCCATTTGTAATCCTCAGAAATCCATTTTGGGGTTCTGCTTGCAAGCAGACATCTTCAGGTGATAAGTAAAACAAACAGTTGACCCTGATGCAACTCCTACACTTTAAAATCAATTATGCTTCAGGTATGGCTAACTGCAGAATATATACGAGGCATCAGTGCATCAATAGAAATCAGGGAGTAGTTGGGGTACAGGAGGTAGGTCACAGGGTTGGTCACTCTGCAGTTGAACTGCAAGATACTAATCAGTGGTCATTTCAGGATTCATAGAGAGTTATACAACATGGAGACAGGTCATTCGGCCAAACTGGTCCATGCCAACCAAAATATCCATCCATCCATCCATCCATCCATGCAAACCCCATTTCCCTGCACTTGGCCCACATCCTTCGTTTCCTAGCCATGTATTTGTCCAAATGCCTCTTAAATGTTGTTAATGTACCTGCCTCAATCACTTCTGCTGGCAGCTCAATCCATATGTGTACCACCCTCTGTGTAAAAAAAGTTGCCCCTCAGGTCCCCATGTTTTCTTTCCCCTCTTACCTTAAACTGATGCCCTCTAGTCCTTGATTCCCAAACCCTGGGAAAAAGACTGAGTGCATTCACCCTATTTATGCCTCGCACGACCTTATACACTACTGTAAGATTCCCACCCGCCCCGCAGTCTCCTACGCTCTAAAGAAAAAAGTCCTAGCCTGTCCAGCCCCTCACCATAACTCAGTCCCTTCAGTCCTGGCAACATCTTTGTAAATTTCTTCGGCACTCTTTCCAGTTTAATAACATCCTTCCTATACTAAGGTGACCAAAACTGAACACAAGTGCAGCCTCACTAACGTCCTGTACAACTGCAACATAAAACTTTCCAACTTCTGTAACTCAACGCTCTGACCAACGAAGGCCAGCGTGTCAAAAGCCTTCTTCACTGCCTTGCCTACCTGTGATGCCACTTTCAGAGAACACACTGATTATTTCCAGAGTTTTCAGGAGGGTCTTGGGGTGTAGTGCTAGTGTCCCTACCTACCTCTGGGCCAGAGAAGCCCAGGTTTATGCTTCCCACTTGCTCCTAGAGGTGCGAACATTATAGGTTGATTAAAATAACTATAAGGCTGTATTATCTTCAAACAAGTGCATAGCTAGACAAGAAGAAAGACACCCAAAATTTTGGAAACAAGTTAGATTCTAATAAAGCTGAAAAATAGACAGAAGATAGAAGAATAGACAGAAGACACCTTCACGAGCTAAAACGGTGAAGTCATGGAATCACAGTACAGAAGAGGCCCTTCAGCCCATTGAGTCTGCATCGGCAAAAAGTTTCTTAAATCTATACATCCTACTTTTTAGCACATGGCCTATAGCCTTGAATGTTATGATATTTCAAGTGTTTATCCAAGTTCATTTTAAAGGCTGTGAAATTTCTGCCTCAACTACCCTCCCAGGCAGTGCATTCCTGAGTGAACACCCCGAATGAAATCACTTCGCCTCAAATCCTCTCTAAACCGTTGACCTTAAAACTGTTCTTGACCCTTTAACCATGGGGAACAACTGCTAAAATGGACTATCTGGTGATTTATCCCATTTGAGCTGCACTCAAACTGGTTGAAGGCCCCATATTACAGGAATGATTAAAAATCACTATTGTCTAAAGTGCTTGGGATATCCTGAGGCAAAAGGCACCATAAAAAATACCATTCCTTCCACCATGAATTTAAAAGTAGATGATTTTCCCCATCAATTCATAGGATACAACAGGATTCAATATATATCAGTTGCAGATAAGGGTGGAGAGATGGCAGATGGAGTTTAATCTGGTTAAGTGTGAGATGCTGTACTTTTTTTTGGGGGGTGGGCGGTGGGGTCAAATGTTAACAATGAAGTACACAGTTAATGGCAGGAGTCTGAACTGCCTTGATATACAGAGGGATCTTGGGGTTCAAGTCCACAGATCTCAGAAAGTGGCCACGCAAGTAAAGGTATGCTTGCTTTTGTTGGTTAGGGAACCAAGTACAAGAGTCAGCATGTCTTTATAAGACTTTGGTTAGGTCACACTTGGAGTATTGTGTTCAATTTTGGTTGCCACATTACAGGAAGGGTATGGAGGCTTGGGAGAGGGTGCAGAAGAGGTTTACCTCTTAGTGATCAACGTCTATTAAGGAATGAAGCTTACTGTGAGGTAGTTAGGCAGAGGAGGGCATTAATTAAAATCAACTACCAAACTGGACAATTTCTGTTGTGCAAAGATTGTAACTTGCGGCATTCAAATTTATTCAAGAGTGATAACATTAGGCCATACACGTGAACCATTTCAAGTTGCAGCCAATTATTCAAACTAGCCATTCAAAGCTTTTCAAAAATATTTGATGCAGACCTGCAAACTGAGCTGTTCAGTGGCAGAGCATAGTCTCTGAAGTACATTCAGTGCTGGATTGCTCGCATCCACATTTTCTGAGGTGAAGTAACGATCAACAAACTTATGGGCTTGCTCCTTTATCCACACTTTTATCTTCTCCCTGGGAAAAAGAAAGATTTCACAATCCAAAGCCAGCACTAAAACATACCATAACGATACTTAGTTCCAGTTTTTCCCCTCCCCAGTGTAGCAGCAATGCTCAATGTTAGTCTAAATAAAGTCTAACATTTTTCAGCATTCTTCCAAAGGGTTCCTCCTTCATGTATAAATCCTGCTTACTTCTGGAGAGGGAAAAATTTTGGATACAGAGTTTTTACACTGCTAAAAATAAATGTACACACTTATCGCATTTTGATCAGCACACTTCCTTTTTAGTTCCCAAAAGACGGGGAAACAACTACTGTCAACAGCAAAGGAACAAAATGAAAAACTGGTGGGCAGGGGCTTGTGGGTGTCAAATGAAGTGTTATGACTATGAAAAGTAGGCAATGTTAACAACCAGCTTGTTTCAGCATGACAGTTTGAGTATGATACTTTACAAGAGAGTCATGTTTAAGAGTCTCTTAAAGTAAGAAGGTGTAGTACTGAAGGTCATGTGAAGGCCTGCTGATTTCTGCTTCATGGTAAGCCTGAGAGACTTACTTGGCTTGGGCACAGGGGCTTTGAGGAAGCCCGACAAACTTAAATGTCAGCTTTCACACCTGGCCAGAAAAGTAACATTGTAGGCCTTGCTGCGGAAAAAAGACTCAGGTCAGACACAGGGGTCCTGGACAGGAAGAGAATCCCATAAACACAGACAGAGAAGATAGCAGCTCTGTCTGAACAGCAGGGGGTAAAAAGGCTGTCTTCTACACAAGGCCAAGCATCATGCATGTGGAAGCTCATTCTCCAGTTGGAGAAGCAGAACTGTAGTAATTTCAGAGCACAAAGACTTATGCTCACACAGTCAGAAGAGTTCCTGCGTTATTGCTGTTAAGTTGGTTTGGGATTTTCTGAAGACTATTTATTGATATTTTCTCAACTTGTTCAGAGATGTCATTACACACATTTGGAGCAGGTGGGACTTGAACCTGGACCTCCTGGATCAGAAGTAGGGATGCTACCACCACATGAGCCTTGAACATTTCTTACTTGCTTCTAAGACTTTAGAATTCCCTTTTATGTAGCTGCCAATCAATTTACTCCTCATTTTTTTTGCCACATCTCTTCCAAATGTTCGATATTTGACTCAGTTCTCACATATTAACTTAATATCTGTCATATGCATCCTTGTTTACCTGTTTCACCCTTGCACTTCATCTTCTCAGTGATCCAGCGAACACTAGATCTAGTTGCCTTACCTGGTCTCCCTCAGGAAAACAAAGTAACAGTACAAACTCTAAAGACAATCCATTGGGTCTGGCAGCATCCGTGAAGAAAAACTCGAGTTAACTTTTCGGGTCGAGTGACCCTTCCTCAGATATTTTTTTCTTCACAGATGCTGCCAGACTTGCTGAGCTTTTCCAGCAGCTTCTGTTTTTGTTTCTGATTTACAGCATCCGCAGTTCTTTCCGTTTTTATTCAACTGTTGACATTTTACTGACACCTCGATCACCTGCAGAGACCTATTATTTGGCCTGTCAACATTCCACTTCGTAAGGTCCTTTGATCTCTCTGCCCATAAATTCTGTCACCTGACGAAAGGGCAATTCTCTAAAAGCTTGTGATTTCAAATAAACTTGTTGGACTATAACTTGGTATTGTCTGACTTCTGAGCTTGCCAAAACAAGTACCTTGCTCATCTTCCTCTATCATTGCTTGCCATCTGAACTGCAGCTCTTATATCCAAGTTAGAGGACATGAGCTCCACTCCAGAAAACTCTTCACGTTCCCTGGGTCACCACTCCAGTTAGTTATAGGGCGATGTGTCTGGGTGGGATGCTCTGAGGGTTCGTGTGGATTTGTTGGGCCGAAGGGCCTGTTTCCACACTGTAGGGATTCTATTGTCCTATTCCAGTTTTCTCTGCCATACTAATTCGAATTTACCTGGCCAAGATTTGTTTTCACTCATTTTCACCAATACAGGCGCTGAGGTATGGTAACTTAAACACTTGTTTTCACTTTTTTGTTTAAAAAAAAAAGTGACCATTCTATTGATGTTGACCCTCACCCAATTAACTGGAATAGGTTTTAACACATTAAATGCCAACCTTGTACAAAAATGATTAATGAACTACTATCAGATGGAAGAAGCTGAACAGTTGTTAGGAGCACTTGGATTATTTCATGCTACATAGTTCTCCTATAACGCAATGGTTGCATTCTTGTGTGACCTCATGCTATAGAAAATTGTGTTATAGGGAAATCGCTATAGAAAATCACTATAGCTGTACAGCAGGAAGCTCGTGTTATCCAAACAGGTTCCACTACTCAATCATGATACAGCCAATTTGCATTAATTAAAAACACGTTATAGCAGATGTACCTGTATTATCTACATTAATAAAGCATGTCAGGGTAAACTAATTTGTGCATGGTGTATAAAGTACTGTTGAGTTAAACTTCCAATCTGAAATGAATGCAACATTGAGCATTTTGAGTTAACATAATTTGATCAGATAAAGCAATTCAACTTCATGTCTCTTCCACAATTTCCCTCAGGGGAATTAGAAATGAATAATCAAATACCTGTTGTTGGACATGGTGTCTTTTGGGGTGACCCGTGCAATGCCGCTAACTCCGGCAGTGCGTGCTGGTTCTGCGTTGTTGCTATTGGACTGTGTGCTTAGCCTTCCCCACGTTTTAGGATTTAAGCTTGCAAGAAAAGATGATTTAGGTGACTGGGTGGCTGTTGGACTCTTTGCTGTATAAAAGAATAGAAAGTAAATGTTAGCAATGAGGCGGTGTTATGCTAACAATTGTCCAAAAGGACATTTTTAATCAAGTTGAATTTCTTTCCAAAAAAAAAAGGAAAATATCACATAGGTGCCTGAAACAGTCAATATGTCACGAAGCACAATCTTAAACTGGTCACTTGTAAAGCAATCAAACTTGATTCGAATACTCATCTAACATCAGTCAATTGTGACAAACAGAAATTCAATGTGGCTTGTTTAAAAATTCAGCTGAAAATGGTATACATAATTTAACAAACTAAAGTAAAAAAATCAAACAAACTAAAAGTGGAAACCTCAAAGTATGCCCGATGAATTCGCAGACACAACCCCAATCTGGTTTAGCTGTTTTGGACATGGAAGAAGTGGAACTGTCCTCATGCCTAAACCACTGAGGATCCAGGCCAATGGCAACAACATGACAGAACCTCAGAGTATTTAACACACATTGCAACAAGGGGATGGTGGATTTGATCTTTCAGGCAAGGAAGTTGCACTTAACACAACCATTTATTCCATACTTAATGTTTGCTTAGCAAATAGGAGTTATAGGTTGACAACTTCAGCTACCACACTAACCACAGCACCTTTCAATCTATTCTGCATTTAAGTCCTACAAATTCAGTCTTAAGATTCAAATAAAATCACAATGCAAATGATTTTGGCCTTCAAGGGCAATTAGACACAGGCAATCAATGCTGGCTAAGCCAGCAATGCCCATGTCCCACAAGTGAACTAAATTTTTAAAAAAAAATCATGGTTTTGTTAATACCCCAGACCGTTAGTTCATTTCATTTGAGTACAGTTGGCGTTTGAAGGGGAACTCAATACAACTGTCATTTACACTTACAAATAAGTCTAATAAAAAGTTTACTTTTAGGAACTGTCTGCTTAATTTGTGGTAAAATAGAACAGTTAACGACTGATGTGCCCTGCTCAGAATCTTGTTCAATACATTTGGATGGTTGACCACCATGAGGATACTGTGGCTCAGACTAATTTACTAGGAAGAGTGTGCAAGATGTTAACACCTGTGAACAGTGACAAGAGCAGCAATGCTGATGATGGATAGACTGCTTAGTAGAGACCCGAGAAGGAGATTAAGTCAGTCAGGTTTTGTAAATCATTACATTTTAAACAGTGTTTAATTTCAAGTGAGAATGGAGTTCAGGGTCCGTTTTACTTATTCATGGGATGTTGACATTGCTGGTTAGGCCATTAGAGGTCAACCTCATGAGTGTTGCCTGGAGTCACATGTAAAGCAGATTTCCTTCCATAACTAGAAGGATTTTTATGACAAAAAGTGGTTACATGGTGCCCATAGTTTTTAAATTCCAGATTCTTAAAATCAAATTTCGATCTGTGGCAAGGAGATTTAAAGCCATATGCCCAGAACATCAGTTGGGGGTTCATAGCAAGTCATTGATACATCTGCAAATAGGTGTTTTTAATATTGACCTGAACTTCTCAGAAGACAATCTGAAAGGATCAGAGCAAAAACAGAGAGAGAGGCCTCTTGCAAAAGACTCAGAAACGCCACCCTTATTATTTGCCATGCAGAAAGCGTACAAGAGCGTGTATTCAGATTAAACAGACTAAGCTTGTGAAGATTTAAAGGAGGCTTTAAGATTTACCTAGCTTTGGCTAGCAGGAGAAATCTCCAGGATTAGAGTGACTACGGAAATAAATTCAGGAATTACAAGTTACCTGGACAGAATTGAAAAAGCAAGCAAGCCATTGTGAGCTCAGAATAGCTGTGCACAGTTCCTGGAGAGTGAAGCATTCATCTGAATTACAAAGTACAATAGCAGAAGGGATTGGTTACTTGTTTTATACGTTAAGCAGAGGAACATGGCTGTCATTTACACCATAAGTAGCTGAATTAAATACTGAATCAATGCTGCTTCCAGTTTGTTACAGTAATAATGTTAGAACCTGACTGTCATGTGATTCTTCCAGTCGGTTGCTGGAAATTCAGAAATTCAATTTATTGGTCTCCACTTGGATCATAACACCCCAACAGCACTTCTCTCAATAATGCAAGAGCTCAAGATTACAGGCAAATTCAAATTGACAATTTTATTTTCACTACCTGTAATACACCATGATAATTTACGAGTCATACCTTGATTGTCTACTTTTTCATCATCTCTTGGAGGTGAATACTTCGTTCTCCTGGTTACGCGTTTTGGCAATCTTTTCCTCTTTAAGACATCACTTAATCGTCTGAAAAAGCAGAGGTGTTTCATCATGATTAAATGCAGCAGTATTTCCTTGTCACAACACGGAAAGGTCCTGGGCTAGTATAGTTAGCTCGGTAAAGTGGACACCAATTTTATACACTCTTCCAGAAACCATAATGAGACAAATTACCAGTTAATCTGTCTTTGTATTAGTTAAGTTAGCAAAGTTGCCCAAGATGAGGTGGAATAAACATAATTCAAGGTACTAATATCTTATCACTTATTTTACACATCATGCTTTTGACAGCAACATCCCCGGTCAATCCAAATGAATGTGTTGACTACTTCCAAGAGGCGTTGAAGGATTAATTTTACACAGCAACACTGCAGCCAACACAAGGCTCACTTTTAAACTTAGTGACATTTTGTGTCAATGTTCTATTCTTGGGAGTAGTTACAGCAAACTGAAGTGAACCATGTAGCCTGTCAGGGAAGTCAGCAGCAAAACTTTATATAGAACCAACCTTTACACCCAATTGTTTGACATATTGATTTATAAAAAAAGTCTAAAATGTTATGAATGTACTATGTAGACTATCCTGTACAAGAAGTAAAATGTTTCACAGATAAAAATATGACTTACATATCTAGATCAGTTTCTACACCCAGCATTGGCACCAAATCACTAGCACTTTGGAAAGAGAGATTTCCCACTCAATATTCTGGTATGCCAGACATGCAAGTATTTAGAATGCCTCACTTGGCATTATTTACATTTTTGGTTTGTACAGAACTCTATTGGCTGTTTTGGTTTATTGCTAACCAGTTAGTTAAAACTAAATCATTTAGTAAGGCAGCTTAGACATGAGACTTCGCACATCATTGATCAAAGTATAACTGTTAAAGTAGGATTTCCTCAAATTTACAAGAAACAAATGTGTGCAAGCCTTTAAATACCTTGCATGAAATAACTTACAACCTTAAGCCATTCAGCCCCTCAAGCCTGTTCTGACATGATCGATCATAACTGATTTCTGTCCTCAATATCATTTTCCTTCACAATCCGCACATGCCTGTCATTATTAGCGTCCAGAAATCTATTAATCAATGCATTAAATATACTCAATGACTAAGCTTTCATGTCTTTTAGGGTACAAAACTCCAAATATTCACTACCCACTCCTGAAGAAATTCCTCACCGCAATCCAAAATAGCCTGTCCCTTATTGAGACTGTATTCTCTGGTTCTCAAGTCACGAGCCAAAGGAACAATTTTGTCTGCATACACCATGGATGAATTATCTAAGTTTCAATGAGATCACATTTATTCTTCTAAATTTTCCCCTTCAAAAGGATAATGATGCCATCCCAGGAAATAGTCTGGTGAACTTCCGCTGTACTCCCTCCTTAGGTAAGGGGACCAAAACTGCACAATACCCAAAGCAGTGAACTCATTTCTATAAAAAATGAAGCACAACACTTTCACTTCAATCCTCGAGGAAATTTAGCATTCCATGAGCCTTCCTAATTGCTTGCTGCACATGCAGTGACTTATACAACATCCCTGTTCTTCTTCCTAAAGTGGAAGGCCTTACACTTATTCACATTATATTCCATCTGCCATGTTCTTGTATAAATTGCCTTGAAACCTCTTTGCATCATGCTCTAACTCATTCCCACCTCATTCTGTGCCATCAAAAAATTTGGAAATTGTACTTGTGTTCCCACATCTAAATTACAGAAATTGATTGCAACCAGATGGAACTCAATTATTCTTGCGCTACCCTATCATGGCCTACGAACCTGAGAATGATCTAATTTCTACTGCTTTCTGTCCATTAATCCTCAACCCATTTTTCTCTATCCCATATACAGATTTTCTTAACTAACCCAATATATGGATCCAATGCACAACCTGTCCCCTAGAAACTTCAAAATTAAATACTAACAGGTTTGTCTAACATAATTTCCCTTCCATAACTCCATACTGACTGCCCAATCAAAACATTATTTTCTAAAAACCCAATTATCAAATTCTAACAGATGTTGTCCCTTTCCTCTATGCTTTCTTAACAGAAAGGTTACATTTACAACCTTCTAATTTGCACAGATAGTTCTAGAAGCTATAGAATTTTCAATGATCAACTAAGCATCCATTATCTCTAAAGTCATCTATTTTAATGCTATCAAATGTAGAGTATCAGATGTTGGGAATATGCCTATTTTTTAGTCCCCTTAACTTTGTTTTGCTCATACCAACTGCTTTCAGTTCCTCATTGTCATGATCTCGAGTTTTGGGAAATGCCTTGTATCATCCTCTGAAGATGAAGTAATTTAGTTTTTCTGCAAATTCCCTTTAGAAGTTAAGTCTCTGCCTGTAATGGACCCACATCTGTCTTCACTGATCTTTTCCTTTCAATATACCAACACAAACTGTTACAGATCATTTGTTTCTTGCCAGTTTATATCCATATTCTGTTGTCTGTTTATCTGTTTCTTTCTTCTTTTGCTGAATTCTAAAATGCTCCCACACGTGAGGTTTACACTTTTCAGCAACTTAAGCCTTTTCCTTTGATCAAGTAAGATCTTCAGTTTCTTTTAAAAACCGAAAGAACTGCAGATGCTGTAAATCAGGAGCAAAAACAAAGTTGCTGGAAAAGCTCAGCAGGTCTGGTAGCATCCGTGAAGGAAAAAACAGTTATCATTTTGGGTCCAGTGACCCTTCATCGTTCTGCTGCCAGAACTGAACTTCTCCAGCAACTTTGTTTTTGTTCCTGCTCCTCTTCCTTCATAGTTTCCTAAAATTATTAAATTATCTCTTTCTCATTGAGTAGTACTAGCTCTAAAACAGGCTAATCCAAACTGGTTCCTCAACACACTCCACTAGAAAACTCTTGTACACCTCTCTCGAACTTGTCCTCCACAGTATTGGGGCTCATTAGATTTATCCAGTCGATATATAGATTAAAAGTCACCAGTGAATACCGCATTATCCTTATTATGTTATGTTAACTCTAAATATTCTGATTTATACTATGCCCTCAATTAGCATGACTGACGGCACATTAACAACTCATGCTTGCTGCTTCTTCGCTCACCCAGGTAAATTCTACAGCTTTTTCTTCCAATCTAAGAGCTCGGAAAAAGCCATCTGGCTCACTAATGTCCTTTAGGGAGGGAAACTGCCATCCTTACCTGGTCTGGCCTCCATGTGACTTCAGACCCACAATGTGGGTGATTCGGAACTGCCCTCCGGGCAATAAATGCTGCCGAGCCAGCAATGCCCTCATCCCATTCATGAATAAACAAATTTTGCAGCACCACCATCTCCGGGTCCTTGATACCCACCCTTCCTACATAGTGGCTATCTTTGAATATTCATTTCCCACTTTTGGTCAACTTACAGCCATGTTTCCATAATGACAATTAAATCTATATATTTCTCAACTCATCTACCTTGTTGTGAATGTTGCACATATTCACAGAGTACCTATATTGCTGCCTTTTATTTTCCAAGAATACCTATTTTGGGACAGTTTGATGCTACATTTGTTTCTCCTATTTGCCTTCCACTCTAATATTTTATGACAGTTCTACATTTCAACCAGCTTTATTTTCCTCCCACCTGAATTCCCTCTGATTCCCATTCCCCAACATGCTAGGATTCAAGTCTTACCCAACAACGTGAGTAAATCTCCCCATAACAGTACGTTGAAGTGTAATCCATCCTCCTTGTATAGGTCTCACCTGGCCCAGAACTCATATCAATGCCCTAGATATCTAAAGCTCTCCCCTTGATATAATTTCTCAAGCCATGTGTTCATTCACTCTATCCATTTATTTCTATAAGAATTGGCATTATATACTGGGAGTAAATCTGAGATTACTCTTTTAGAGGCCCCACTGCCAGTGACATCCTTGATCTGGCAGGAGGGAGGCAGCATTCTCAGATTCACATTTACAACTGCAAAAAATATCCATTTATTCTTTTTTTAAAGTCACAACTGCCCTTCCATTCTTCTTCCTCCCCACCTGTGTAACTGAGACACTTGTGATGTCTCAACACTTGAATCTTAATGTTTGTTGAGGAACAAAAGCTCTCATGGTATTCAGAACAGAAACCCAGTTAGTGAACAAGACTGGCTCAGCCTCCAGCACTAACCGCCTGGTATTCCTAGACTGTATTAGTCACCTACTCCGAGAGAGTTCTAGAACTCAGATTTCAAGTTTCTAAGGCTAGTGACACGTGCTTTAACGTCAGTTAAATTATCTGATCAGTTATCAGAGTCCTGTTGAGGGTATATTGCTTTTGCAAATGACCTGGTACATTTTCTAATGTTATACTTAAACTATTGCACTGGCTCTGACGCATTTCAGGGAGCTTTGACATTGTGTAAACCATGACACTGAGCACAAGTTCTTCCCTTTAAGGGCTCATTAATTATATCATCTAAGACCAAAAGAAATGTAAATCACTGATGAATGAATATCAACCCAAAACAAAAACTCATCTCTACCTCCATTAGATTCTGCTGGACTTGCTGAGTATTTTCTGATTTTATTTTAGATTTCTAGCACATGGACTATTTTGTGCTTTAAATGTGGAGGACTAGCACATGCATTCAAATAATGTAACAGAGGGGTGTTTTTGGGGAGTGGGGGGCAGTTTAATGAGGTGGTCCTGAAATTAAAATCTCGGAATCAGATCAATCTGCTTCTGTGAAAAAAGGTGGCCATGGTACAGGGTATTTAGGGAAAAAACGTAATCTGAAACGTAATGAACACAATTATCAATGATTCAGTGCTAAAAAAATGCTCCATACAACAACCTTATTGCAGTAGTCGGTGATTTCAACTTGCTCAATATTGACTAGGACTCCGAGTGCAAGGGGTTTAGATGGGGCAGAATTTACTCACCGCAGCCAAAGGGTTTCTTGAATTAAAAGTGTAGGTAGCCCAACTAAGGAAGGGGACCATACTAGGCCTTATATCAGGGAATGAACCTGGCCAGGTGACCAAAGTTTTAGTGGGGGAGCATTTTGGAAAGAGTGATCAGTAAGCTATTTTCCCTGGAGTGGAGGCAGAGGCGTAATATTATAGAAGTTTATAAAACCATGAGGGGCAAGGGCAGGGTAAATAGCCAATGTCCTTTTCCCAGTGTAGGGGAGTGCAAAACTAGAGGGCGTAGACTTAAGGTGAGGGGGAAAGATTTAAAAGGGACCTGAGGGGCAATGTTTTCATGCAGAGGGTAGTGTGTGTATGGAACGAGCTGCCAGAGGAAGTGGTTGAGGCATTTAAAAGGCATCTGGATGGGGACATGAATAGGAAGGCTTTACAGGATATGGGCCAAATGCTGGCAAATGGGAGTAGGTCAGATTGGGATTACTTGGTGGATGGAGTTGGAGTTAATGGTCTATTTCTGTGCTTTATTTTACACAATGGTTTGTGTGTGGAATGAAACTTCCAGAGGAACTGGTGGCTGCGCATACAATTACAAGGTTTAAAAGACGTTTGGATAAGTACTGATTAAGGAATGTTTGGAGAGATATGGGCCAAGCATAGCAGGTGGGACTAGTTTAGTTTGGGATCATGGTTGGCATGGAGCAGCACGGTGGCTCAGTGGTTAGCACTGCTGCCTCAGTGTGCCAGGGACCTGGGTTCGATTCCAGCCTCGGGCGACCGTCTGTGTGGAGTTTGCACATTCTCCCCATGTCTGTGTGGGTTTCCTCCGGGTGCTCCAGTTTCCTCCCAGTCCAAAAATGTGCAGGCTAGGTGGATTGGCTGTGCTAAATTGCCCATAGTGTCCAGGGATGTTTGGGTTAGACATGGGGAAATACAAGGGTAGGGGAATGAGTCAGGGTGAGATGTTCTTTGGAGAAGCCGTGTTGACCTGTTGGGCCGAATGGCCTGTTTTCACACTCTACGATTCTATGGACCGGTTGGACTGTAGAGTTTGTTTCCATGCTGTGTGATTCTGTGACTAAAATGCACTTGTTAATAGATTGAGCCAAATTGCTACTCTTAATGAGACATTGTAACAGATCTCTGTTATTTGGCAGAGATCAGAACACCATAAATAAATTGTGACAATCTGAGCCAGACTGCAGAGTAAGATGGTTTTCTTGCCTGCATTTGAAAACTTAAAACAACTTACCCTTGTGGACTCAGGTCCAAAGAATCATCCATACTTTGGAAACTGGGAGACCCAAGATCTGCAACTGTATTGCTTGCAACGTTGGTTGTGCTAATTGTAGCAGCAGTGCCCAGCGTTCCTATTCCACTACTACATGCCTTAGGAGGGCTGGTAAGTAGAGTCTCAGACTCTGCTAAATTTTTCACCTGATGCATCACACCTTCCAAAAAAACAAAAGTTAGTAATAATTTGCACTGCAACATCCAACAATCTGACTGTTTTAACTGCCAAAAAGATATCTGAATTAACTTTTAATTCTAACTCTGAGGGAAATCCACAAGACTCAAATATTAAAATTCTGGAATTTTATAAATTTAGATTCCTTGCCTTCTCTTCGAAAGTAAACACTAAATATATCTGGTAACTTCTGCATTAAAATTTCTGCCATCTGTAGCGCTCCAACAACGATCTTGAAATCTTGACTTGATAACATGGAAGCAATGTGGCTGAAAAGGAGCAAGAAAATGAGGTTAAATATATGATAAGCAGATTGATTTAAAGTACACATGAAAAATTTAGAACCTGTTAGTACACATTAATGAAATTGTTTTGAATTAAGTACTATTTCAAAAGTAGAAATAATGTAGACATTGCTTCAAATTAATATTTATCAAAGAGTGCTGCATTTACATTAAGTGTATACTGCAGATATGATCTGTAGCTAAGCATAATTAAGTACCTCATACCATATTCGAAGAAACTTATGTGCTGCCTTGTCATGTAAATGCCCTTGTAAAAATGTTTATTAAAAGTATACTCCTTAAAAAAAGTATTTGCTGAGACAGTGAGGCGTGGGGGCAATAGAAACAATGAGGTCTAAAGGCCTTCACCTACTGCTTACAAGGTATCCAATGCCTTCGTAGAACCCAACAGACTGCATGTAGCAGAGAATGCTTGACATGAAGTGTATATTGCAGACATGACCTATCAACTTAAAAATTCCTGGGACATCTTAAGGGTGTCATGTATTGTATGTAAAGAAATAAGCCTGCATTGCACTTCAGCAAACTTGAACTCTTATGTACACATATTTGATGAATGAAGTGTTTTGGATAACAAAATCAGTAACTACAAGTCACTAATTTGCATTTTGTGTTCACAGGTTTGTTGACCCCAACCATTGGAATTATCTCCCAGTTCCCAAAGTCCCTAATTTTGTTTGTGCTCCTGAATGCTAAATTCAATCAAATTTGGCTCTGGTGTCAATGATATAACCACAAAGTCTTGTTTTTCAGGCACAAAAGTATCTCGTCACAACAGCTACAATATCCCAAATAAGCTGAACTGAAGATATTATACGAAACACACGATGGACACAGCATGAACAGGCGCAAGGGAGGGGAACAGGAGAGTTCTAAGAAATTGCTCATTAATTTTTGTTTTATTCACTCAAAGGACATCGGCATTTCTGGCCAGGCCAGCATTTATTGCCCATCCCTAATTGCCCAAAGGGCAGTTCAGAGTCAACCACATGTAGGCCAGACCAGGTAAGGATGGCAGTTCCCTGAAGGACTTTAGGGATAATGAATTATTGGAAAAGTTATAGAAGCCTACAGGCCTCCCCTGGTTGCGAACGGGTTCTGATTTGGAGTCCATTCACAAGCCGATGTGTAGGCAAGTCAAATCACAATGCAGGACAATAGAAAGCTACTGTTTTTAAGTATGGAAATCGTTCACATCATGTCTTTAAAACTACAACTATGTATGGGTTCGACTTTGCAAATCGGGCACCTCCTGTATGTATACAGGACATTACCATAACTTCATGAAAGGCATCATTTTCTGCCTTTGGTCAAAAAGATGCGACTCCATTAAGCATTCAAATTATTTTTGACTGGATGTAGTGGCAGTAGGGAAGCATGGTAGACCCTCCGAAGAGAGCTGTTTGGCCCATTTGATAGCTGCCAACTTTTCCCATTGGCGTGTATTTATTCCCTTTATGTACTTTTCCAACTTCCTTTTAAAAAAGTTATTGCAGCTCTTCTCACCATCTGTTCACAATAGAATTCAGATCATAATTTGTTGTACACTTTTTGACCTGTCATCACCTCTCTCTTACTAATTACCTTGGAATATGTCTGACTACTGATACTTCTGTTTTAAAACAGAGTCCAGTACTGGAAGAATTGTTCATCCAGGATGCAATTCAACTTGGAAAAAAAAAAAATCACTGAAATATTGAACTTTGTGCAAGTTTAATAAAACTAAGCATGTTACAATCAATACAAACCTGGAAACAGCATGATTTTTAAGAACATCCTTCAGAAGTTCAGCATCAGCAAAATAAATTATTCTAAGAATTGCTCTAAGGCACTTGTGTCTGACAGCAGGTCCAGCTGATGAACTATACACTTCATATAACACACCAAACAATGTCTTTATAAAGCATTTAGCCAGGTCTGGATCCTCCCTCATTAGCTGAGCACGTGCATCATCCTTTCTCGTTTCAGAGTGACCACCTATATAAGAAAGCATAGACTTCAGATTGCATTTTCCTGAAATCACCAACACTTTCAAATAACAACATGCATTTAACTGAATCAGAATTAAACTATTACTTCTGTTTCAGAGATAGTAGGAACTGCAGATGCTGGAGAATCTGAGATAACAAGGTGTAGAGCTGGATGAACACA